AAAAAGGTTTAAGGAAGTTAATGTGTAATTTTTGCAAATTGTATCTCTTTCAGAACCAAGTTGATTATTCTCAAGATGGAAACCCGCTTGGCAAGATCTGAATAAGGAGGTAGCAGAAGCCTAGTATGGCTTACGAACCGGGGTTCTAGTTGCGGTGGCTATGTGAACCTTATAAGGGTATTAAAACTAGGTTAGCTATTAATAGTGGGGGAAAATAGATGGCTCTAGTAGATTTACTCCAAGAATAAAATTGTTCTAAGGTAGTTACTTAAAATGGTATTGTAGTGAGATTATGTATATAAAAATATATGTATGACGGATGTAAATCATCTAGTTGTAAAAATAGTCCATATAATAATAAAAGTACTTGACCGAAGGGGTCACCTTAACATCAAAAAAAAAAAAAAAAAAAAGTTTATATGTAATCGATTATTATTATAGATATGACCGTTATTCACTGAAACGAAATTTATTAATAAATCTATTAAATATTCACTGAATATAAATTTATTAATAAATCTATTGAATATTCATTAGATTTTATTAATAAAATTTAGATAACGGATCACATCTCTAAAAACACAGAATGTATACATTTTACATATTTTTTACATATTTTTATATATGTTTCTGTGTTCAGCTTCCATGTTTTTCCAAAAATATTTTTCAAAGGATTTGTAACCATTTCTTTTAACATGGGAATATTTAATAATTTGTTTACACTTAATGCATTATTCGTAATGATTAATCATTTTAATGGTATCTTGAATTATTCTTAAAATTTGTACTTGGAAACCTTTCTAATTTCTTTTTTCTCTTGCTTGATAAGTTTTTTTTTTCCTGTTTGTATTTTATTATTTGGTTTGGCAAACTTATTTTTTGTCACTTTGAAATTCTTTTGCTATTTAATAACTCTAAGTCAACAAGTTTAACCCACTCATCACAGGTACCTTCTATTTGATAATCAATAATACCATTCCATCCTTTATTAGCTACATCCGTAGTATTAACCAATATTATGCAACCGTCACGACCGTGAACCGCTCTTGCAAAACCCTTAATAAGATCTTTTACTTCAGGAATTCTTAAAAAGGTTTCTATTATTAATAAACAATCAGCTTTATCCTGATCACATTTAGCTATTTCGCTTATTTCTAACCCTTTAGGATGTATATCACCATAAAGGATTACTGTTGGTTATAATTGACCAATAAAATGTGGTCGTCTCCCTTGTTTAACCCTTGTATTTTTTATTAGTAATTAGAAACATATTATTAAGAATGTTATTTTGGTTGTTTTTATTCAGAAATATATAGTATTTTATATATTTACTTCTCTCTACACATTCGGGGCAATTTGGCGCTTTACCTTCCTTGAAAATCTCACAATATTGGGTATAAATGAACAAATGTTTGTGCAAGCATTACATCGTAATTTTGACAAAGTTCTATGTAATTGGACTACTTGAGCTTTGCAGTTTTTTACTCTTTCAAATTGCCAATTAACATCAAATTCTACTAATTCTTCAAGATTATCTATATTTTGTGTATACACTCTTTTTAATTTTTTCATATCTGCTAGTTTTTTTATAAAAGAATGAGTGGCTGTGGGTTTAGCATTTACAATTAATTCTTTTAATATACCTATGAAAAGATTAAATCTCTTAATAGTATCATGAGTTCTAAGCAATTGAACATCAAATAAATCTTTGCCTGAATGAAAAACACCCAGATATTGACTTTTTATCATATTGTAAAGACTGTCTGAACTTATAAAATCCTTTGGTTATAAGAAAAATATTAATTTTAAAATTAATTGCTGTTGAAATCTCAAGAAAAAAGTGATATTACTTACAGGAATTCCCGCACTACATGATATGTCTGCTCCAGTAATTATAATACAATTTTTAGCTTTGGCTACATGTCTATTTATTTTACGGATTAAAAAACAATCATTTCTGACTTAAGACTTAATTTGACTATCTCCTCCATTTATGCTTTATAGAATCAAAATTTTGAGACATCTTTTTTATATATTTTTATTAAGGTATATTACTAATATAAATTTTTGTATAAATTATTTTTTGTACAGATTGCATTAGTAATAACAGTTGAGAAATAAGTAAGTAAAAGTTTATTCACGAAAAATTTTAATGTTACGTAATATATAAAGGTGGAGTCTTTTGTGTAAGACAAAATTTAAATTGAATTACTCGAAAATTTTCATTGTGAAAATAACTTTTCACATATATTGTAAATTAAACTTACCCTCGTGTGTAGAATTTAAAATTAAATTTAATTTGAAAAGGTATATCCTTGTTTCAAGAATCATTTAGAAATCGAATGTTCTTTATTCCCACTTATTTCTTCTGATTAACCATTTGGTTAAAAGACCTGTTGTGATAAAGTGCAAAGAATTTTGATACTACAGAGAACTACAAAATGACATATCATTAAATATCTTATATTATATATATACTGTATCATTACACCAATCGGGTCAAATCCTTTTGTGTATAAAGCACAATTTTTTTGTTTAATATTGTGTTAACCGAAGGGTTAGTTTTGCTGAACAACTTGTAATTATGTGTCACTAAATATTATCTTATTCTAGATAAAAATATATATTTTTAATTTATACTAACATTAATTGAGTTAGAAATCTTCTTGTTGAAAGTTTAAATTAATCTACCACTCAGAAATGCATAAAATTTTTGTTCAAACTTGTTCTTGTTTTAGATTACGCAAAAGTTATTAATTAAAATTCTATAAATAGTTGATTTCTATACATAATTGAAATTCTTACGTGGAACTGTCGTAAAGGTTTGCTTATGAAATCTTTAATACTTGACAAAGAATTTTCTTTAACTTGTATTTAATTAATTGAAAGTATAATCAGAAATTAAGATATCTTTTTATGTTAAAAGAAAGATAAAGCCTTTCAAGTAAGACAAAATCTAATTGAATTATAATTATTTTGAAAAATTTTATATAGTTCAGTACATTAAATAAACTACACACGATATTCTGATTAGAAATAGTAACTAACTGCATGTAGTTTTCTATTTCTTTGTTTAATAAGATTAATTAAGTTGTTTCATAGAATTTTCAAACAAAATTACATAATATATTAGAGCAATCGAATACAACAATATAACTATTTTATTCGAAAATACAATTACACGTAAGTGCCAATTTTCTTTGTTCATTCATATAGTTAACCTTAGAGCATATGTTGAGATACGATCCGTAAACTATTAGTTAAATATAAATAAACTGTAGTTTATTGTAAAACTACTGTTAGTTAACTGTAGTTATAAAATAAACTACAGTCACAGTTCACACCTCTAGGTGCAATATTTTGTTTATAAGTATTTATTTCGTAAGTAACAATTTCTTTGTTTCATGCTTATCTATATATGGATGGCGTATATACATAAGTAACCCTACCCTTTTAAAAATAAAAATTGGCATTTAGACATAGACTAGAGATGTGAACTGTGAATTACAGTACATATAAATAAACTGTTGATTTATTTTAAAACTACATAAGAAATTATTTAAAATTTCATTACTAATAGAGATTACGTTAATGTGTGTAAGTAACTTTGAGTGTTCGGCTTTAACCTTTCTACTTACATAAACCCGATAAGTACCAACTTTCCTTGTTCATTCATAAGGTTAACTTTTGGCATATATTTTAGTACAAACTTGCGTGCAAATAAAATTTATCTCATGATTAAACATTCGGTTAAAAGACAGTGTTATACAAATTTATAATGTTACATAAACTTTTTGTTTTATTGCAAAATCTTTTCCAAATGGTGCAGTAATTAGAATTTTTAACCATTATATTTTGTGGAAAAAGTATAAAAGTACCAAAATATCCAGTTCTAATTTACTAGTATATACAAGCTAATATATATTTTATTAATAATATTAATAATAATTTCAAATTTAATAAAATAATTTCTTCATTAATCATGGCAATAACCTGGAAGCAAAGCTTTCATACCACGTGTTATAAAAGAAAACCTGAAAAAATGCACAGCTTTATCATTAATGCTTCCGCCCGACCACTCAGAGACTTTACAACTACCTAAAGACACATGAAAATTCAGTTAAGAAAAGTATACGGTTGTGTTTTCACAATCTATCCCAATTGCTAACAACATTGGATCTAGATGAATATACCCTTGACTCTAAACAGCAAGTTTGGGCCGCATATGCGCACATTAATAAAAATATTTTACTTTATGGTGTAATTTATAATCCACAAAATAAAACTGTATCGGCCAAAAAATTTGATGATTATATAACAAATATTACTAAAATAATTTATAAAGGCAGTAAACAGATTTCTGGTATCGGAATGGTTTATAATATTCAAACCCATATTTATGAATCAGATCAATCTCACATTTATATATATTAGTTTTTATTTTGTTTTATTATTTAGAACTATGAATAATTTTAAAAAAATAGATTTGAAGTGACATCAAAGAATAAATCACTTTTTAATTTTTCTTACATTTGTCATATTTGCCATATAAAATTTTGTGAATATTACGCCCCAAATATCATAAATCACTTTTTAAATTTTTCTTACATTTGTCATATTTGCCATATAAAATTTTGTAAATATTACGCCCCAAATATCTATATTACTAAAAGCATTCGAAATTATAAAAAAATATTGAGAATATTTTGTGGGTTAAATTTTTGAAGGATAGTTGTAAATTCTTGAATATTATTCGATTGGAATCTTAAATGATATATCATCAAATATATTTTTTTTATTTTTTGTTTTTTATTAGAAGCGTTGGTAGTTGAAGGTGTTTAAATCTTTAGCAAGCAAGCCTTTCATTATTGATTATCTGAAACAACTTTTTTGTCCAATTGTTGCTTTTTTTTGTTTCATATTGATGTAGAATTTCAACTAAATTTGTTGAAGCATATTAATTCATTATAAGAGTTTTTATAGATAAAAACAAAGTAAATAATCTTTGTTGTCTTCATATGCTATTTAGTGACACACCTTTTGTATTAAGAATTAGTATTACAAGTTAATAACTATTTTATTTAAAATTGTCCTTGTTTCAAGAACCCTTATATGCAAAAAGTCTATCCGCATTTATATTAAGTAATGTTGCTGTTAAACAATAAATAACATTTAATTGAATCTAGTAAGTATAATTTAATATTTGTGGCTTTAATATTTTACATTTCATGCTAAATTAATTCTATGCTTTATTCATTAATAGGGTTTTCCAATCTTCAAAATAAATTCATTGAACAAAGAAAATGAGACCTTTTTTATTATAAATATTTACTGTAAAGGTCTTAAGTCCGAATAGCAAATTATTTATACGAAGATCTTTCAACTAGCATGCATAAGTTCAATTACTCGAACATTTGCAAAATAGTTATTTCCAAACCATTAATTGATTTTTCCAATCCTCGTACTATTTATGTTCTTTTGTAAATTGTAAATTTCTGAATTTATACAAACTAAATAAATTTATTTTTTTTCATGCAAGCCAATTCTTATTAATTTAAATTAGAAGATATTTTAATGAAATAGGTATAACTAACAACACATGATATAATTATATAGATATTATAAAATCAAAAATTGTTTTTGATTGGTTAAACTAATGTCAAATTTGAATACTACACTGCATAAAATTTTTAGTCAGTAATGTATAAGCAAGTATTAACGTTAATAAAAATAAAAATAAAAATCCTTATAAATAAGGGTATTTTGAAATCAGGGCATAAAACAGAAAACATCTCCGTCTCTATGATATTTCTTCTTTTTACCAGAGTTGATCAATAATGTCGGGTCAGGTATCAACTTCAAAAAAAACAGACTTAAGACCTTACTAGAAGATCGAGTAAAGGAATGGTCTCAGAAATTGTGGTGTCCAACTCTAAAATTTAAACTTTCTAATACCTTATTCAGATTTCTTATATAATTATTATATTTTTTTATGTTATAGGTCATAAAGTTTTGTATATCACTTATTTTTTCTAGCTGGCTTTTTAACTTTGTAAGGTTAATTAATAAATCTTCTTTCATTGAGTTTGGGTTTTTAAGGCAATCATCCGCATTATAAATATCATTGCTCAGCTTTAACATTTCTTTCTTATATTCCTGTTCTATTTGTTTGATATATCCGCCTAGTTCATTGAATTGGCAAATAACTATTTTGCGGTCAGCTGAAGCAATAGTTTTTAATTTTTTTATATTAATATTATTTGTTACAACAAAAATTTCTATTTCTTTAGCAGATCTTTGAGTTTCTATAGCATTTATAAATTTCTTATATTCTTTTTCAATGTCTGGATATTGTCCTGTTTTACTAGATTTAGTTTGTACAATAATTTGTATTCCATTTTTGTCACCAATAAGATCACTATCTCCATCCTCTGTGATTCTATAATTTCCAATTTGTAAAGCTAATTGATTAAATAGATTAAAAAATCTAAAATTTGAAATCATTGGATGATAGAAAGTATTATATGGTACTCTCTATTTCTTAAAAAATTAAAAACCTTCAATTTCAAAGTTTCTTTCATTTGTATATTTTTTATCAAGAGATTTAATTTTATATTTTTCAATTTTACCATTATATGATATAGTTACTTCACCCTCACCCACTTGGGATTGCATTTTATGAATTTAATTAATAATGATAAAAAATTTTTATTCTTGTATTTATACATTTTTTTGCATAAAACTAAAAGCAAAAAGTCTTTTGTCTAAATGGTTTATTTCTGTAATTCTTACACGAAACTGCGCTACCATGTGTATGATTATAACTACCAATTCGTTATGTAAGATTTTATAGATATACAAGTAATAACTTTGGTTGCCTTTATATACTAATTAGTTTAGTGACGTGTAATTAAGCCTTTTGTGTTTATTATATCAATAAGAATTACAAGTTACTTAGCAAAAATAACTACTATTTTATCTAAAATTGTCTTGTTTCAAGAACTTTTATACATGAACAATCATGCTGTATTTAGATTAAGTAATATTATTAAAGAAAGTACATGTAAAAATTGAATCCAGTGGGTATATTTTAATATTTGTGGTACATATTTATGTTTCATGCAAATTTATTATTATGGGTGCTAAAAGAAAACCTTCCCATACATAGTTGTGATCTTTGTCCTATTGAATTATTTTAAATACAACTTTACATATTTTATTTTTGGATATTTTATTTTATTTTATTGATTTGTTACTTGACTCTCAATAACATTTTCAAATAAGCATAATAAGTTACATTGTTTTAATATTAATTTAGATAAATCCTTATTGAAGAATAAATGACTAACAACATCATAATGGTCTTTATTACAATATTTTTTGAAAAATTTCACAAAATTATAAACTTGAAAAAAATCAATTTTTTCTTTAAAATGCCAACAAAGATTATACTCCCAATTTTCATCGTAATCACCTTGATTACAAATTTTACAATATTCTTGAATAGGATCATAACCATAATCTTCACACGTATTTTCTAAGATGTGTTGGAATTTTTCTTTAGCTTTCTTCGAATATGTTCTGTTTTTCAAAACTTCATTGATCATTCCAACAATTTTTATTTTTTTATCAGAAGAAATTTTATCGTCTTCATCATTGATTAATATTTTAAATTTATTCACAAACTTATCAATGATATCATCCATAAAATTTTTATCTTTATATTCCTGTCTATAATTTCTAAA